ATGTCTGCGGGGTGGGAGAGTTATCAAGCACGTAAAGTTGTTTCAGATGTGAGCATGTACACTGAACATAATGTACCCAAACAATAAATAAATTCCTTTATATTTCCCTGCCTTGTTGTTTATGTGTACATACAGAGAGAAGAATGTGAGAACAGCACACATTTCATCGTTACTGTGTGTTAGAGCATGGAGAACAGTGGATACTTTTAATACAGCCCACACCCTAATACTGTGTAACTATAACAAGTAGAGAACAGAAGAAAAGAGTTCTTTCTTTACAACTGTCTGCATAGCTTATTCATTGTGTAATGAATGAAAATAAATAGGCCTACTAGGCTCCTCTCTACTTTGACATTTAAGATTAGCTTGTTGATCCACCTTCATACACATGTGACATTACTGTACAACTTGAGAAAGGTGTGAGTTGTTTTCTGCTCCAGCCTGCCTAAAAGAAAAGCGTTTGGGATTAAATGGACTTTATTAGCTGCTGCAGTGCAGGATGAACTCAGAATAGACCCATTTCTACCTTATTATTCTAAATCATGCAACGAAGAAGAAGAAATGCATAAGAAATCCTGGGACAAAATCTGTCCACAAATACTGTACAGCATGTAGTCTGATGACAAGACTTGTGTTATAGCTGACTTGGGCAGTGAATGTTGAATTTTTTTAATTCATGTGGTCATAGTTGTCCACAACTCAAATCAGAATATAAGAAGAAATGTTTTATACCACCTCAAGAAGGCTTCCTATCAGAAAGGTAGGAAGGTATTTCAAATGTACAACTGCAGTACGTAATCTAAGTAAAGTAATTTCCCTGACATTTTTGTGTTACTTTACTTTTATAGACCATGAAGAGGTTTATACTTCCTGTGAGTATAATCCAATCAATCTTATTTCATACTGTATATCCGTTGTGTAATTTGATAAATTGTGTTGTGTGTCTGCTCGCATCTCAGAGAAGACTCTGACTGCAACATGCGTCTTTGTAAAGAGAGAAACAGACAGAAAAAGTCTCTAACTCTGCCTGTCAGCTCGCTCTGCTCCGTTAAAACTGAATTTACCATACAGAATTGAATACGAGTGCACTCCAGATTTAGCTGCAGCCAGCTGACCGTGTGCTTCTCCCTATACCACAGTTCTGTGTCCATGCATGCAGCAAACTGAAAGCACTGTCTGTCGGAGCGTCTACGTGAAAAGAGAAGGAAGACATTGCTGGTCTTCAGAGTTGTTAAACACCTCAGCGCACTGAAGGAAGCCATCTGACTGTGTGAGGGGCAAGATCGTTGATGTCTGCAGGCAGAGTAGGAGCTCTCCTGTCTGATGGTCCACCAATAGCAGAGAAGATGACCCCTTGAGACACAGCCCCTCCTCATTTGCATAATGAGGCAGAAATGCATACAAAAAAAAAAAAGACAGGCAGAAATAAATACCATGGGTGAAAATAAATAAGGTAAAAAATACAAAGGAAGAATAAACAGACAAAAATATTAAAACACACAATAAATAAATACATTAAAAAAATTAGTAATAAATAAAGTAGAATGAATAAACAAATAAGGTAATTATAACAAAGGTGAATAAGTAAAGGCACTAATTAAAATATACATTATGTCTCCTTGTTAATTTAATACTACATTATTTATTTACTTATTTTTTGTGTATTTAATTGGATGCTTATTTATTTATTGAGCATTTATTTATTTCTGTATTTATTTCTGACTGTGTCAGGATCGGTCCTCCATAGCGGGGTGGGAGAGTTATCAAGCACGTAAAGTTTGGTTCAGATGTGAGCATGTACACTGAAGTTACAACAACTTCCTGTGTCATGGCGAAGACTTGATCTCTGACGCCACGCACGGACACACCCATTGACGAAAACTCGCAAATAGCACAACTTTTCATCTTCAATGCCTTTAGAAGGCACAGCACAAATTTGAAGTCGGTCGGACTAAATCCCTAGGAGGAGTTCGTTAAAGTACGAAGTGTGTAAATCATCCAAAATTTGACGTAAAATTCAAAATGGCCGACTTCCTGTTGATTTTAGGGCATCGCTCCAAGAGGCTTTTTGTGCGTCTGGACAAGATACACGTACCACAGAAAATTCGTGCACGTAGGTAAAACGTGCGGCGGGGGGCTGCTTCGTTAAAAGTCACTTCCTGTTGCCAGCAGGTGGCGCTATGACTGTGGTGAATGTCAGCATGTACATGTG